CTCTCTCTCTCTCTCTCTCTCTCTCTCTCTCTCTCTCTCTCTCTTACTGTCTGTCTGAGGTGGGAACGGGGTAGAGAGTTGGAACAGGGTTGGGGGCGATGAAAAACTACTTATTTGTCATTTTGAAACACATCATATTGCTATTTCACCATATTTTTTGTTGAGTGTTACCCATAAGACTTGAGGTGGAATTCGCCAGGAGTCATCCTTGCAGCCCGGGTCCAAGTTGGCAAGGCAAACTCAGCATCAGCCAGGTATTTTCCGAGTGCAACGACCAATGCAATTTTGCAGGGGGCGATCAGAAAATGGCTTGTCTCTCGTGTTTCCTGCGAAATGTCAGGAAGGATTTGTTTCAATACAGTGCGTTTAATTAAAAGTTGGGACCTACGATTTAAAGCCCATCCCCGAAAGGATCGAGCCAGATTAATATAGGGCTTTTGGGAACCCCTGAGCCAACTTAATAATGCACATCTGGGATTCGAACGCAGGTTGCCCATTACACAGCCCAGGATCGACTTTCCATAACACTGTAAAGAATACAGGTTAGCATTAGTCATAAATAAAGTAAATCCAGGGAGTACCTGTTTGCGTATAGAATAATGGAAGGAGACAAACGTATCAAAAACGATAGATTATAATGCTACACTCGTGGGGGGTGGGGTTGGGGGGTGTTTTTTGTTGTTGTTGTTGTTTGTTTGTTTGTTGGGATATTGTTTTGTTTGTTGTGGGGTTGTTGTTGTTGTTTGGGGGGGGGGATTATTTTTTTTCAACCACATCAAAACATACTCCAAATAAAGGACAGTCCATTTTTGCGAAAAGATTGGTGGTAACCCGTTTACATACTTAGTCGATAGACGTTGACGCTTCACTCACCTGGAGAATTGCCCTCCAGCGTTTGAAACCGAGTTTGACCCGGCCAAAGAGTGACCAGTCACATGACACATAATTCTCCCACCAGCCCAGAGACACGAGGATAAGAGCCAGTGGCAGCTCCCACACAAAGTCCTGCAGTAGTGTGGCCATCACTCGCTGCTCTTTTGAATAGCTAAAGGACGGAGGGGGAAGGTGGGGGGGGAGGTGGAAATTAAATTATATCATTTTTTATATTAAGAAAAAATTAACATTTACAAGAGATGAAACAGAAAGTGTAAAGACATGTGCTGTTGAAAGGGGAAAAAAGGGAGACTTAAATCGGGTGTTATGTTTGTTACTGTTGCTGTGCCAGCTTTCTTGTTGTTGTCGTTGTTGTTGTTGTTGTTGTTGTTGTTGTTGTTGTTGTTGTTGTTGTTGTTGTTGTTGTTGTTGTTGTTGTTGTTGTTGTTGTTGCTGTTGCCACTGTTGGTGTTTCCTGTCTTTTATGACGCAATATGTGTTTTGTCCGTTGGTTTGTTTGATGAGGATAAGAATTAGAACGTAGAACAAGACTAGGAAGAAGAGGAGGTTGAACTTGCTTTCTGCTCTTTTCTCCCCTTCATTTTGCGTTATCCTTCGCTAAGAGTCATTTTCATATTCGTTGGTCAGTGTAGGTAAGGATACATTACCTGGGTTGTATTCAATGAAAGAACACTTTTGACGCATGTTTATTTTCAGAGTACTTACTTTCAAGTCTTACGTAATTATAATTTCATATTACACTCATGTATATGATATGAATGGATGTCAGTGTTCATAATTGAAGACCTCAGAAAAAGACTGTACCTAAGTCCAAAGTCGCAAAAATCGAGTTCTTGGTATCTATAGAAAAGACTTTCCCGTATCTGTTGATAGGGCACATGACATTCTACCTTTAGCGGTGTGGCGAGAACAAGGGAAAAAACTGTTGCGTTTCCCAAAGCAAATATAGACCTAAGTCCATGTATTTCGCCGTTTTCCTCCGTTCAGCGATGATTGGCTTAGGCAAAGTCTTGTTCTAGGTCTTCAATTTTTCCTCAGTTTTGTCTCCCACTTTTGGGGCACACTTGGCTCATTTCTCCTTTACTGTCAGATGATGGAGAAAAAACCAAGTCTGTTCTTTTCGAAAAACAATTTTTTTTTCTCCGAAAACAGACCACTCTGATTGTTTTGATTCAGATTTTGTGTCAGAGAACTTACTCTTGTGATGTGAGCTCTTTGTCAAATTGTTCTGTTGAGAAGTCCCGGATCATGAAGAAAACGAGGCCGCCGATTTGGGAACACATGGCAACGAGGGACAAAAAGAACTTCATCGGTGATTTCAAACTACATTTCAGCTCCTTGTCCACCATCATCACCTGAGGAGAAATGAAATACAACAGAACTAGATCAAAGTCAGTGGTACGGTAGGGTTAAGGCCGCGGGCACAGAAGTCAAATTTCCTCTTGTCACATGGCTGCAAGTATGCAAATGAGGCTTATTTTCGCCCGTCGCCCATCTTCACTGTCTTAAGACGTCATATTTGGCCTCCCTGCGATGAGTGGGAATTTATCTTGTGTTTTACCAATAAAAGACATTCTTTAATCGAAGCATGTCTCGTGTACTTTTCATAATCAATTAAACAGCTTTATTTACTGCATGATTGGGATTAGGAAGAGACCTTTCTGAATTCTTTAAAGGGTTGGAGTAAAGCTGGAAAAAGGAGATTCGTTTTAATATAACAGATAGGTCTCAAAGGAACATATTTCCACAATTCAAGCAAATTATGGATTTTGCAACATGGGTGTGGGTAGTTGTTTGTTTGTTTCGCTTTGCTGTTATGTTTTATGAGGGTTTTTAGGCGCGGGGGGGGGGGTATCTCTATCCATTCATTTTTCTTTATATGTTTTGTTGTCGTTATGCTTGAAGGGGGCGGGGTGAACTTCATCTCATGCTTCTTCCGTTGCAAAAAATAAGAAACGAGTGCCAAAGTATGCTCAGTATGTAGCGTGACACGTCAGTCAGAACATCAGGGACTGTCGTCATAAAGCACTTCGTTTTCTGTCCTGGTGGATAAAGAGGGTGTTTGAACAAAAATCCAAATTTTCAGCCGCAGACCGTAATCTACGGTGACCTTATTCCCTCTACGTAAAACAATTACTGAGGCATTACTTTTTTAAAAATTTCTTTAAGTAAATATAATATGGGTTCTTTCGGTCAACACAACGCCACCGCCTCCATGAAAAAGACGATGAATCTTGAGAAAATAGTATATTTGCACAAACCTTCAGAATACTGGGAATGTGGAACATAGCAAATGTTAAAGTCATTCCTCGAAAGAAGTCCGTGGATGGGAGGACCTTAAACACCAGCAAACACCAGCCAAACGTTGACAGCAGTTCGAAGAAGAGCATCTGAGATGAAATAAATGAAGACAGACAGTTTTTCTGCTAATATAACATTTGAACGATTACAGATGAAATTGCAGGTGCTAACAAGTTTTGATTTACTTATTTTTAGCTGATTTGCGGTTATGTCAATAGAAATCAAATGTGCGTGTTACGAGAAAATGTGCTAGATTACGACCCCAGCTCCTCCCTTTTGCCCTTTTCCCGCCGTTCTGCAATTTGTTGCTCCACAAGATTGATTATCTTTCTAACATTTTTAATCCTTTATACTGGGTGCCCGCTACGGATGGGATCGGCCGATCGGGCCGATCGCCCGACTCGATCGCCTCAAAAACAAACGTGTTTGTTTTCAGTTTCAGGCGATCGAGTCGGGCGATCGGCACGATCCAGCCGTAGTGGGCAACGCGTATTACGAATCATATATTTCTTTTTAGTAATGTTTCCAAATTTGCTTACCACGTGCTTGAAATTTGATTTTTCCTTTCAAAGAAAAAAGAGTCAAACTCATGTCTATGCATCTTTTTCCATTAACCCTGAGGTCGCCATTGCACACTCATACACCAGGCTTCTTTTCTATTAATGGTCAAAACTAGTCAGATTGTCGCTGCGCTTTTCGTCAGATCTTTATAAAGTTTGTCTGTAAGATTGAGCCTGGGGCCTGAGGATACGCGAACATCTTTTCGTGTACACTAATTAAAGTTTTACTTTCGCATTTTATTCTATTTCAACTGTGCAAAGTTCAGCGTAACATCGTGCATCCCTCTCCTTTTTGTTGAAATAATTCATTATCCAGCAGTCGATAGACTTTGGTTTACGTTGCCCATACTTACAACGGCGAAAGTTTTCGCGGAGGGCCACACCTTCCCACCAAAGAGAATCTTCATGAAGGAGTTGAGCCAGGTGTAGACCATGGGGGCGCAGATGCAGAACATTAGGAGTACGACACTCTCTCCTCTGGACTCTACGCTCTGTGGGTAGTGAAAGGAAAGTATTATGAAAACGGTTTGCCGTTATATTATGAGACGGTACGATATCGTAAGAGTAAAATACCCTTTTCGGTGTGGCAAGTTAGTCAAATAGGCTTTACTTTCATTTTATCGCCCATCTCCGATAGAACTTAACTTTAAGAGTCATAAGAGCTTCTTCGCTTAGCCAGATTTAAGTGCAGTTTCAGAACTCAAACAACGATCACTTGAGTGATATGAATGAACTGAACCAACAGCACACTCGCTTGTTAAGAGGCACCTGCAAAATCAATGAGTATGTAAAGAAGTTGCCGTGGGCCTAACAGCATGTGTGTGTGTTTGTTCGTGGGAATCAATCAATGAATATATTTATACATTTTATTAGCTGATTGGCTAGATATTTGTTGATTAATTAATTACTTTGTTTATGTGCTTTTTTGCATGTTGTTTTGGGGGTTTATGAGTTCGTTGCTGCTGTTAAGAAAATTATTCATAAATTCATTCGTTCGATCTTTCGTGCTAGCTGTTCATTAATTTGTTCTTTCATTAAACTGTTTTGAGGAGCACAGTGCTCGACGATACAACACCCAACTCAAACACCCACTCATAGAATATTCAAAAACTGGCTAATCAATGTCAACACATGACCTCGATGACCCCTGACCTTATTGATGTTGCTGGTGAGTAGAAAGACGGAGATCCGACTGGTGACAGTAGCGACCAACATGATGAGAACCACAGCCACGTAGAGGGAGAGCCGCATGACCTTGAGGATTTCCTTAAACACTTTGTTGTCATCTTCGTTCTCCCGCTCAGAGACACTGAACACGTCATAAGCGCGCCTTGGGAGAAAGAGAAAATAAACATTATTTTTATAGCGCAAATTACGGCTAAACAGTAAACTATAAGCGCTTTACAATGAAATATTAGTGTTAGTATTATTAAGACAGAAGTTTACTTTTCCTTAAAATATTCAAAGCAGAAAATATTATTCTATACAACATACTGCATAAACCAAAAGAAGAAAAAGTGTCTTTCCGTGCTTTTTAAAACGTGTCTTATATTTACTATATCTGTATAAAGTAAAGGGTGTAGAACTATACATATTCACTATATATTTGTATAAGGAAAGTACAAATTAATATTATTTTTTTAACCAAAGAGCAACGTTGTTTGTCACTGTGGGGCATTGGATGATTTAAGATCGACTTTTTCCCAAAATTAAATTAATGATTATTTATAGAGACGCATATCTCCTGAAGGCCCACACGGCTTCACAATAAATCCATTGACATGTCTATCTCTTCCAAATTACCATAATTTCTGCCCTAGGGGTAGCCATAGGGTGTCGCAATATCTTAGGCCTGTGACACCACCAGAGACACAGTGCTCGATGGCAGCTGATTGAAGATGGGTAAAGAAACTTTTGTGAGGACACAACGTCCAAATTGATGGTGTTGGAAACAGAGCTCAGATTTTTTTGTAAATCGTTTTTATGATCATTATTATTAACTACTATTATTATTACTATTATCACCAAAAAAGCACATCATAAACAGAAGTTATGAAAGTGAGCCGAAACCATAGTCCCCTGAACATCCATGTCAATAGTAAACAACTAAAATAGGTGAAGGAGTTTAAATATCTTGCAGCATTTCTTCTGATAACGGGTCCATAAACCGAGAAATAGAAATGCGAACTCAAAAAGACAACGCTGTCACCTACAAGCTCGCACCCCTCCTATCTCATCTAAACATCTCCATGGACACAAAGAGACCACTTATCTCTTCAATATTTATACCAACATTACGCTACCAGTGCCAGACCTGGACATTAGGTAAAACCCATGAAAGCAAAATCGCTGTATGCGTAATGAAATGTCTCCGCAAAACCCTTAAGACCACAAGACGAGACAGGCTGAGAAATGAAGAAGTAAGAGCAGCTATTGGCACTGAGTTCTGCCTGCATTTCGTAGAAAGACAGGGGATAAAATTAATGCCACCTGTTACGTGTCACCTAACCAGCTAGCCTCGAGAACTTATAGTATAACACCAATCACCCAGGCTATAAAGGAAAAGGACGGTCACGCAAAAGGGAGATTGGGGTGGTCGAAAATAGTTATCTGGACTGTGTTATTTCAGTGTTGACCGTTGGAGATTGTATTCTGTAGAGCTAAACTGATGTCAAGTAACGAAAAATTTCCCACAATAGTCGTCTTCATTACGCAGATCCTGTAATAATCAAGACGTGCACAGTGAAAGTAAAACCCGTTTCGGATAATGATTGCTTGAGTAAGTCTGCAACGTAAAATAAATCCAGTGTTTTGTGTTCGTACTATGAAAATGCCCGCAGAGACCATGGGTATGAGCTCTGTCCTCTTTTACTATAAATACCATTTGGGATCTTCCTCATCCTCGACATCAATGTTGTCGTCATTTGTGTTGGTCAAGGAAGTAGTCTCGTCAATGTTCGCCTTGGTTTTGGCGAACTTTTCGTAGTGGCTGGAAGCGTCAAATGAAATGCCAGACTCCGACTCTTCATAGTCAGGCATCGGATCTCCAGAAAAATCACTCTGTGTCTTTTGGGACTGAACAAAGAGAAAGAAGTATTATAGTTATTGGTTATTTGGCTGTGTGGGGTTGGGGAAAGTGGGGGGGGGGGTGGTGTAGGAGTAAATATCACGTAGAACGCCTCAGAAAAGATGAAAGATGAGAGAAGAGAAATGAGAGGACGATGAGAGAGGCTTTCGTTTTGTGTTTTTGAAGTGTCTGAGATTTTTAAATGTTTGTTTTCTTTTTGTTTGTTTGGTTGGTTTTTAGGCTAGCGCTGGTTTGTTTATGCGATTTTGTTTTGTTTTTTCGTTGGTTTCTTTGGGGGGGGGGGTTGATTGTTTTGTTTTTCTGTTTGTTGTTCTTTTTTATCCTGTTGTTGTTCTTATTGTTATTGCTATTGTAGTTTTTGTTTTTGTTTTACTGTGTTTGTTTAGGGGGGCGGGGGGGGGGGCAGGGTAAAGGGGGGAGTCTGAAAGTCATCATGGAAAAGGAAATAATAAGAGATGATATTAACCATAAAGCTTGCCAGGAAGTAAAAGGGGCTCCTAAAGGCGAAAGTAGAGCTAGAGGAAACGAGATGATATTAGGGGGGGGGGGGGCAGAGGGACAGATATATAGAAAGAACAAAAGAGGGAGAAAAGTTGAATGAGACAGAATTCAAGCCAGGAGATGACAGGGTTAGGGATACTGGGACTTAAATAAATCTAATTGCGGATTGTAGACGACTACACTCCACTAACTACTTTAAAAGAGTAAGTGCCATGTCACGTACTTCTTCAAGTAATCACGTATAATTTAGTACAATATTAGATTAACACCCCAGCTCAGTTATATTTTCATGAGGACAGAGCCTCCTGGCTCAAAGAATGTAGGTATCTTGAGGGGGGGGGGGGGTTGGGGAGTTGAGGTTTTTTTAAATTTCACCCAAAAGTGTCCAGTTAAATTTTTAGAAATTACTTCAATCATACCGTGCTCACGCATGTGTTGTACATATATATATTATATGAACCAGAAATGCGTGGCGAACCCATGCCGTCTTTTGCTTATCTTTTTAAAGTAAGACATGTAACGGTATGTTACGTATCGGATTACAGCACAGTGAAAATTAGGTCTAGACATCAAATCGTGGGTCGTGGGGGTATCATAATTACTCCCCATTTTATATTTTATACATTTTTCCAACACTCTGTTATGTCAAGCAAACGTCCGAACGAGCCCAAAGAACAACTGCAATGAACCCCCCCCCCCCACACACACACACTAACACACACACACACACACACAAACACACACACACACACACACACATTCAGTGAGAGCGCAACATTTTGTCAAACTTAGTGTAGCCTGCTCTACAAAAATAAATGTGTGAATGTGTAGAGGTTAACGCCCTTTGAAATACTGTAAGGTAATCTAAGACGCGAGACCTCCGAATTTAACATCCATTTCCGATAGAACCGAGCTTACTCACCTCCTGTTGAACATTAATAGTCGGTACCATCCTCGAGGGCAATCCTGAGCTTTCATTCCACCTGTCAGTGTGTTCCCCGAAGTGACTATTTGTGTGTCCCTTGACATGAGGCTTGGGAGGTACTGCGGGAGGTCCGTAAACATTAGGAGTCGTTGTGCCGGTCGAGACGTCTTGACTTTGAGCAAAGTGATGGCTGTGGCGATCTGACTGCCCTGTATGTGAATCTGGATCAACAGAAGGTGCCCGGCTGAAGAAAGGGCTGGGGTTAGTTAAATGAGAAAGATGAAGACCTGAATCCAAAGATCGTTTGTGATTCGCGAGTTCTTTATACGACTGTCCGGGAAAATGAGATTTGTCCATCGAGTGTGGCACTGAAGGAGTTTTACTTACTTTGTTACCGGGAGTATGACCGAGCTGCCTGGCGAGAATGTTATCGAGTTTGTTTTTCACATCGTTGGAATGATGAGAACTCGAGAATTGCCTTTTAGACGGTGCATGATCTGAATGCACTCCCTCGTACGATGTTGTGTGTAATCCAGATCCCTTATTAGCCAAGTTTGATGTGTTACTGTGAACATCTGGGTCTGTCAAATATCTTGTTGGTGGAGCTGCAGGTTCATGAGAGGAAGCGTGGTCGTCCTGGGTATGACTTTCTTCTTCGTCATAGTCTGGAGAATTTTCAATATTGTTGTCGTAAATGTTTTCTGTTGGAGTTTCAGTCTCGGTTCGCATAGACAGCGGGATGAGAGGACCGTTAGTTTCCATGTTGGCAACAGTAGCGCGTCTCTGTCCTGAATAATTTCCCGAGAGCATATCATGAAGATTTTCAAGGATAGGTACTGAACCACGTTTTGCGTCCGAAGGTCGGACATTACGTGAAGTCAGAACTTTGGGCGCGAGGGTAGGATGGTCAAGTCCTGGATCATTTGAGTAATTTTGTTCCAGGTCTTTTGGTCTCGAGCGGTGGGCATTGTGGTTGTCTCCTCGCTGTGACTGCTTGCTCTGGTGCTGATGTTGCTGATGTTGCTGATGTTGCTGATGTTGCTGATGGTGCTGATGTTGCTGATGGTGCTGATGGTGCTTGGCTCTCGGTGGTGCCACGGGAGTCTCTGAAATGACCCCATCTCTATTCCTGGGGATATGAGAATTTCCTGTGTAGAACGAAACGCTCGAGTCTGGGCTTAATCTGCCAGACACACGGCCCGGTGAGGGGCTGTATATCCTAGGTGGGGGGGTCACAGAGTCTTTGGAAGCTGTACTGCTGATGTAAACACCGAATTCCCTCCCACTATTGTTATCGGGGTGATAAGACGGCGGAGGACGGAGAAAATCCCCACTGTCTGGCGAACTGTTTGGTGTCAATCTGTCGTTGTAGGCGTTTCTGGTCTGGTCTGCCATTTTCTGCCTCCGTTTATTGATCTCAGCATGGGATATTTTGGAGGCAAGAAGCTCCAAGTTTGGCCCTAGTGATTTGTGTAGCGCCGATGCGCTGCCTCCGAGACCTATACTGGCTAAGGCAAACTGTGTCGTGTCTTCTCCGATATGAGTTTGGTGCAGAACATTTGCGCTTGAGGCAGATCGTTGTCGAACCTCACGCGGAGAGATGGGATCTGGCTCAACTAAATCCGCCAGTGATCGGACTTGGCGCAGCATCTATTTACAGAAGACAGTGGAGGGGAGAATGCAGAAGAATTATGCATCAACAGATTTGAAAGATAAATCGCAAAAGGGGGAAATTATGTCAATAGATTGTTTTCACTGATAGCTTAAAACGTAATAGTCTGAAGACTGGTGGAAAATGGCCGTGGGGTAACAGGGCATTCAGAGTGGTTGAAGTTCGGTTGGAGAAGGGGCATTTGAGGGGAGGGGCGACAGCGGAGGTGTAAGGATCTGCTCATGTCAAGACACTCTGGCCGAAGCACGTTTGATTTAAAGGTCTCAAAGCATTTTTTCTATACAGTGTGATAAAATCGGGTGGTTGGTGTGTGTCACTAGTAGGCCGTGTTTTTTTAATCTCCGTGCAGTCCGTCTCTTTATCTGATATATACCTGCTGTGTTCTTTTCTTTCTACAGGTATTAAAAAATTTCTGTTGATTTTCTTTTCTTCAAGCCTGTAGCATGTGGTCTGAGCGAGAAAGTCTTTAATACATCTAAACTTCATTAAACTGTCAACAAGGGTGTGTTTTTTCAACTTAAATTGGCTGAACAAATAATAGTATAGATCTGACTGGATTTGTTAACCTTGTCAAGAACTTCTACATAAAGCAGCTATAAATGGCCGTTATAACTTGTTGCAGCTCTGGTTCTTTAAACAATTAACTTGTTAATGTGCTTTTTGGCAGACGTTCAGTGTTTGAGTAAAAGGAAAACATTTTAGATTGCAAAAACCGCTGCAGAAGAAAGGTAATTTCACCAATGCACACGTACGGATATCTGAATATTTGCGTTTGCAACTTTGCGGATGTAATGCACATCAGGAAAACATCATCCTGTTTCTATGAGCACGGCGTCCAGATCCTTGACAGTGAGTGATGGTTCTGAAAAAGGCGTTACGGCTGTGCAGGGGCTGAGTGTGTTAGGAATGAAGGACTGTTGTACTAGAATGTTAGTGGTGTAAAAGTGTGTGGTATGTCAACTGTTTATTGTACTTTTCAACATATTACGCAGATATAGTTTTATGCTGTTTGGTACATTTTGAGAGGTGCAGATGTGACTTTTGCGACTGCTCGAGCAAATGAAAGTAAGGACTAAAACAGTTGAAAAACAAACTGAAAACGTAAAACAACTTAAAAGATGTAAGAACAAACCTAAACATCAGTGTGAGATGGTCACCTAAAATGCGACAGGAGAGAAAAATATATTCCCTCGTACCTTTACTTTTGAGGTTGCGGAATTGAGGAAAACCGATGTAACACTGAACGTAACGAGCAGAAACTTTAGTTAAATGTGTTTTTAGATGGGCTGTTACTTGTTCATGTAGGAGCGCTCGCGCGAACGTGTGTGTGTGTATAAGTATGTGTGTGTGTGTGTGTGTGTGTGTGTGTGTGTGTGTGTTTATGTGTGTGTGTATGTGTGTGCGTGAGAGTGAGTGTGTGTGTGTGTTTCTGTTTGCGCGTGTGTGTGTG